AAGATGAGAACAAAAGCAGTCTCCCATGTTCCAAACCGGAAGTGGTGATATACTTGGAGTTTTCCCTTGATGGCGGTGGGTAGGTTCACCTCTAGGAGGAGAAAAGTTTGGGGGGGGTGGGGGGTCCTTTCCGCGCAGCCCGCCGTAGGATAGTGGGTAGGTACCGCTTCAAGGCAAGCAACAGCAGACGGCCATCAGCCAGCAGCTACCAGCCAGCAACGCAGGAGTGGAGTGGGGAGTGAGCACCTATTGGGGCTGGGATCTGGGATTGCTTGGAACGCTGAAGCACAGACAGGGCAGGACAGAAGCTCTGCGCAAGCGCATCCGCGGCATCCACGGCAGGTGTCTCCAGGCCCCCCTAGCACCTCCCCCCCAAGGCAGGGCGTGGGCCACAGTGACCAATCAATGGGGCACGCCACCTTGAAACGCTATCCTGGGGCAGGTGCTTTCGACGACGGATCTGGTCTGTGCTTCAGCGTAGCGTGCCACCAACACGGCTGGCGACGTCACCCAATCGCACTATTTTGCGGGGTAACTCCAGCGTTGGGAAAGCACGAAGAAGCCCACCCGGGGCCTGCACCGTCAGTCTCTCGAGAGAGCGACAACGAATCTCCACCACCTTCTTCGGCGTTCCAACCCAGCAGGTCGCCCCCACGATTGGTCCTCTCTGTGTTGAGATGCATCTATTGCGACCACCTCCTCTTACCATGTTGCAGTCGGACCCCTGACAATGCACCATCATGAACTCAACCCAAGCGTGACGCACAAGCAAGCCTCCATCCACCATCTGAAGCGGACCCATTTTCGCTTGAAGTCGCATTGATGCGCGTCGAGTCAAGGTGACAGGCAGCAACAACACAAAGCCAGCCAGGAGTTTTGGTAGGCGAGAGGAGGGGCTGTATCACTTCGTTGCGTGGACACGGTCGCTGCTCGGCCGTCTTCTAACAGCTTGCAACTCCCGTCTTCCATACTTCCGATTCGACCATGCTGTTCATTCGTTATCAACTGTTCGTTCAGTCGATGGTCGGTCGTATCGAGGGACGATTCAAGCACACCAGTCACCTAGCAAGCCTAGGTGGTTCAGCCCCAGAACGCCCGAGCCAAGTCACATTCCGCATCCCCGTCTCCAAGGTTTCCAGTCCCCATCATTTGTTCTGTCGACGAATCAAGAAACATGGAGTGGCCATCGTTCTTTGTACAACTGACACGTATTAAGGCCCAGATGGTACTATTACCCTCCATCATCACCAGGTGTCGACCATCGCTGCCAAGTACCACTGAACTCTCTTTGCCAGTCTTCCACCCAGCTGCACCGCATGCAGAAAACAAAAGCACCGTATCTGCCAAAGAATCCGCCCGTCGCGACTCGTACATTGCAGCTATCGGCGCTGAATTGGCCTGCAGGCGCCCCCTCAGCCCAGTCCATGCGCACTGCAGATGCATATCTTCCAGTCGCTTAGATCTCTCCCAACGTCGTATCCGTTGACCATTTCCATTATCTGGCTTGTCGACCCTCATAACGTGCTCGCCTCATTAGCAACTAGAAAGGACAACGACCCGTACGCAGCATTACCTTGCAGGAACCTTGGTAGTACAGCTCAACCCTTTCTGGCCTCTTCGGCGAACATTTCTTGTGGACGTCCCCCTTCTGCAGGCAGTCACGGCAGCCTCAACCGAACTGCGGTCTCCGTCCGCCTGCATCATCTCAAGCTCAGACAGACCCCGCGGCACCCACCCTGCCACCTCCGTGCAGACACTTCCAATGGATTTGCTGTAATTTCCAACGTCTAACCCTTGACTATCATCAGCTTCTGACTCGTCAGACCAAAACATGGAGATGGACAAGCGTCCTTGGACGCGCCTATCTCGTTTTTACCCCGCACACAGACGGAGCATATCTCCACGCACAAATAGCACCACCACTCCGTCAGCTGCTCCCTGCTAGCTCCCTGTCTGCACCAACTCCACAAGCCCCTCGCGCCACGATAGCCAAGCCCTCCAAGCGTGCGGCTTATGCCACTGCCAAGCAGCCAAGCAGCACGAGCGACTACGAGAACAGAAGGGACTTTGCCAGCAGTTGGCCCACGTGACGATACAGGGTCCTGGACACGCAGTGATGCAGGGGTTGTGGTTCGAACTAGGTGATTGTGGTGATCCAAGAAGTTAGCGGGCCCTCGGCTCAGGACGACCAAGAGGAGCTCATTCGGTCAGCTCGCGTATGGTGCGTCGACGCGAGAGGAGCGATGGTGCGTGCATCTCAGCTGCATACATGGTACGCTATTGTTGTTGAGGTAGACTCGACTGCGTTTTTAATCACAAGCTGTGAGTATGGTTCAAGTTGTTTCGTCAGTTCTTGACCTTTCAACGCCCCCTGGTTGTAAAACGACGCTGGCAAGGCAGGGCGTAGCCTGTTCACTTCCTCTTGTTGACATGGACGAGCAAGACGATCTGACAACCAAGTGCATAAACAGACGCTTGATTGGCCTATGGGTAGCGACGCAAGAGAATTGTAGCAGAATTCACGATATTCCAGGCCATCCATCTCGATCTTGTATGAACATCATAGTTACCGATTGGGAAGAAGGCAAGGGAAACGCAATTCCAAGCCTTGCATGCGCCGTGGCGTTCTTCCTACCGTCCGTCTGCAGGGTACTCTTGCTGTTTATACTGCTGCTGCCGATATACCTGCGGTGGCATGAACCCAGCGTTCTCTTGCTGCGTCGGCATCATCTGGAATCCTCCACTCTGCTGGTAAATTTTCTGCTCCTTGCTTGCTCCGAGAAATGGGAAGAATTTGTAAGGATGCACAAATGACACGAGCCCGATGGAGAGGAGTATCATGGCGCCGTCGAGACCCAGGAAGAGGGGCTCGTTGCGCAGTACTTTAAAGGAAATGGACGGGATTTGTTCAGTGATCCTGTACAAAAGGAAGGGCGTTAGCATGATTCGAGTGGTCTTGACGTTTCGGCCCAAGGCTCACCTGTACGCGCAACGGATGATAATGGCCATGTAAGCCGCGACGAGGCAATACACAAAGATGCGCACCCTCTTGGCTTCCTTCTCCGTGGCCGTCGCCCGCGACGTCGCAATGCCGAGCCTGGTGCCGTCCGCGTTGAGAACCTCTGGCTCAGGCGCACGGTTTTCGAGCAGTGTCGGACCGTTTTTGAGGGCTTTTTTCCGCCTCGCTGTGTAGATGACCATCAGGCTGCCGCAGACGAGCATGTTGGCTACTTGGAAAACGACGCCGCCGATGACGAGCTTCTCGCCGAGACTGGCGATCGTCTCGTTGCCCTCGCCGGCGGCGCTCGCAGCCGTGGCGCCGCCGCCGATGACCTGGATGAAGATGGAGAAGAAGTCGGTGCCGACGAAGACCCAGGGGTACAGCGACGGCCGGAGGAGCGACCACTGCTGGCCGTACCATATGACCAGGCTCTTAAAGGTGACGGAGATGGCGGCGGCGACGAGGGTCGGTGCGAGAAGAATGGTCAGGAAGTTGATGGCGAAGGCGCTGAACGACCACGGGTTAACCGCGAGACGGGTACGCGCCCAGTACCCGGCGACCTCGAAGGATGTGCCTAGCCCTAGCCATACGAGGTAGGACCAGGTCCTGGCGCGGCAACCGAAGTAGATCTGGATGAGAAGACAGACGGCAAAGGCGATGCCGAAGAAGTAGGCTGCGCTGCTGGAAAGCTTTGCGCCGTAGATTGTGGCTTCTACGGGGCACAGGTCTGAGAGCTCGTCACACGAGCTGTATGTCGGGATGAATGTATCGTTGCTTGCCATGATTGTCGATCAAACTCGGCAGCGTGGTCGATCGGACAAGGTGTTGGGAGCCAAATAAAACGAAACAGGAGAGGGAATCAGATCAGAAGTGCCTTGTAAGTCACCTGGTGCAAGAAGAGTAGCGATAGGGAGCCGATATGAAAATGATTTCCTCAGCAGCACCTCAGCGGTCATCATCTGAGGGGGGCTCATCGCATGATATGACACCACGCATTCTGTTCGGAGTGAAGCAGGCATTTGACGTGGATCCCTGGCCTGTTGTCTCTGTCTGCCTTGCCGTCAGGAGGAGCTGCCCGGCCTCTAGCTTCCTGTCGCAAGATCCGTACGAGCCATCCAAGCCATCCAAGCATGCGAGGAGTCTAAAGGGCGCGCCAAACAACCAATAGCACACTTTTGTGGGCTCAATTGCCTTCCCAAAACATGTGGAAAGGGGTCAATAAGCTTGGTGCGTCGTCATCCCGCCCATGGCTCTGCCATGACTGACCCCAAGTTGAGTGGGTAGCCCGAGCTTCGGGTTCAAAAATTGCCCGTCCCAAGACTTCGGTTCATGTAACGCCAAGACCGTTCATCACCGATGACGGCCGATGGTGGAGTCAACGTCGGCGGCCTCATTGCTGTGAACTGATCATTCTCTGTTCTCAGGCCCCGACCTTTTCTTCTTTACCGTGACGATAGGCTCTTCGCTGTCATTTTCGGTACGAGGGCGGAAGTTTTTTAATATCCGTCGCCCACCCCCGCCAACCACCAGGTCCCACGTCTTGCCCAGCCCCGCTACTCGGGACACATCATTACTGAATCCGGAGCCCTGAATTCTGTGTGTTTCGCGCATTGGCATCTGTCTCCCATTAGGAATGAGCGACACGGACGGTGAGAATGACGCCGACGCTGGCTCGAGCCAGGGGCCGCCATCAAGCGGGCGAAAGGTCGCCTGCAGTCAATGTCACCAACGAAAGGTCAAGTGTGACCGTGAACACCCCTATCTCGCGTGTTTAACGGTAAGCAAGAATACGATGAATTCAACCCCATGTTTTCTTATGATACGAACAATCTCGTGGCAGACTGGTCGGGATTGTACCGGTTCCCCTGCCCCGGGTCCACGACGGCCTAGACGGCAGAACAACCATGTGCTCCGTGCAAAACTCGAGAGCCTCGAGTCGCTCCTTCAGCAATGTATTGAGTCCCAACACACGGGTATTGAAAAGCACCCTCTCAAATCGGCCGTTCCAGATGGCCTTTCCCCAACGGCGCCGCGACCTACGGAGAGCGACGACGAGGCGAAACAACCGAAGGGTTACCTCGTGCAAACACGAAGTGGCGGCGTGGAATTCCGTAGTGGAAAGATCTCCTCACTCGTCTTCCATGATGTGAGTTAGCGTCCCGTACGGCACACCATCACGCTCACGCAAAGTGCCAGCTGCAAACGATCAAGGCTGTCCTCCAAGTCGAGGCCGAACAGCGCGCGTGGTTGCCGTTCTGCAGATGCAAGCACTCATTTTCTCTCTTCTGCTTGCTGCCTCGGGTTCCTTGTCTCGACAGGAACATTACGATCTCTTAGGAAGAACCAAGACTGACACCATGGCCATGCTCAGCCGGGGCTTCAAAGCGACAATAACGCAGCTTAACTATGTCAGCAAATACAATCCTGAGGTTCCGAGGGCCCTCATATTCTACTCGGTAAGCTCACCTCACCTGAGACAGTCGACGCTGGGAAAAAGACATGCGGGGCATCTGCACTAATCACCATTTCTGTGGTCAGCTCGCGCGGCAGGGCGCTCAGCGACGGTCTTGCGACCCCTGGATCCTACATGGTCTCATTGTCAATATTGCTTACAGTCTCGGTCTTCACATTGATGGCGAAGGTACAGGCCTCTCACCTTTTGATTTTGTAATGCGGAGCCGCCTGTGGCGGCAGGTTGTACTTGTGGAGCTCGAAGTCAAGCACACAGTAGCTGCGGGCGTTGGGACGTTTCTCATGCGGAAGCTCTCAAACACCAAGCTCCCCTCGAATCTCGATGACCGCGAACTCGATCCCCACATGGTTACACTTCCCCAGAGTCACAACCGACCGACTGACATGAGCTTTTGTCTGACAGCGTATGAGCGCTGCTTCTGGATGGCCGGCAAGCTGCAACAGAAGGAAATCCACCTCGTTGATGAGCTCATCTTCTCCGACCCCAGCCGGGAAGTTGACGAGGCGGTCACCAAAAAGCGTAGTGACGCGCGAGACTAGGCTTTTGATCTGATGGCCACATCAGCACGAGACCTGGGGCCCGTGGCGCTGCAGCGATGCCCAGACATGAGCAACCCCTTACATGCTATGATCACGCAAACAATGGCAAGCCTAGAATGTGTATTAATGGCACTGATCATGCCTATGCAAGAGACACCCGAATGGGGAATCGAGGTTCACGGGCCAACAGACAACCTCTTCCGCATCACCGTGGTGGCCCTGGAGTTTGCTCAACGCGAGCAGCAGGGCTTTGGACATCGCTTCCTCTGGTACGCAAATATCAGTTTCAGGTTGGATGGACTGTTCTACGTGATCGCTCAGCTACAAGAGCGCGTGTCCGGCTCACTGGCTTATAGAGCATGGGCGTGCATCGAGAAGGCATATGGATACCACCAGGATCTATCGGATCTGGACGATAAGGAGACTATGACCCTGGGCAATCTAGTAATTGTTGCTTGGGATGCGCGGCAGGCACACTTTGTCAGCGGAAGGATACCCTTGCCGGAACCGCACTTTGTCACGACTTTACGGGAAACGGTGATGATGATGAAGGTGTAGGCACTGAGTCTTCTGGCCGAAGTTTAAGGATGTCACGGCGCTGTACACCGGTATGGTGAAGAATCGGGCCCGCACGACACTGGTTCCGACGCCAAGGGCTATTATCACAATGGCATCAGCCAGTATATGAGGATTCCAGCCCTAGTCAGGTATAATCGACTGCCAGACTCAGTAAAGAGACAATCATGCAATTCTGCCATCGGACCCAGGATCTTTATCACAATAGCTATATAAGTCTTCAATTGCATCTGCCCTCCTCTGTGTTGAACTCGTGTGATACTGAGACTGCGGTATTTAGCATGCTTTTTTGACTGTTCGACAGATTCGCTGGTGTTGGGACAAACATCGATTGGAGCGCACCATCAATATTTAGCTTCTTCCATGTGATCTAAGGCCTCTTTTGAATCCGAATCGTCAAACAAGACAAACTTCGGATGTAGAAACTCTTAAATCGGTCTAGAACCTGTGATACTTGAACAGGAGTACTACCAGACGATAAACTGGGTGATTGGATTGAGGTGCAAAAGAATAGCAGCAAAAAGAATCTCTTGAGTGAGATACGTCAGGAATTGAGCCCAACGGGGGGCTCGAACCCCCAACCTTGAGATTAAGAGTCTCACGCTCTACCGATTGAGCTAGCCGGGCAGGCAGGTTGCTTTGTGTTGGCAGTCGGCGTTCGGAGAGTGGGTACAAGTCGTCCGGAGCATTTCACGACCTGATGAGAGTCAACGGCAATCATCAAGACGACCCAAATTGACGGTGGCTTGTCATTCGAAGAGGCATTAAATTTGCAATCACATTTGCCAATTGTTGATTGCGTGAAGGTTCCTTTCTGACATGCTTTACCCAGTTCCCTGCACGTCACATTACAAAAGACGTGTATGCCAGATCACTTTTGGCAACATGGGTGTGTAAAGAGTCATGAATCTATCGTCAAAGATATCGCACCCGTCGGTCCATTGCTAACGGAAGGGCCAAGAACGTGGGCTGCATTCTCTATATGCTTACGGAGATGAGCCAAAATATGATCTACTCGTAAACATAACTACTCGTCAACATTCGGGTCAAACTCGGGGACAGCATCACCAGCTGCCTCACCAAGCTTGCCCGCAAACTCATCATCCAACTTTGGCCCAACTCCGCCGCTGAAAGCTCCAAGCATGGTTTGGCGCAACCCCTCGTTGGGCCAGCTGAGCCATCCGACGAGCGGGCTCTTGTAGAACGAGCCTGAGAAGTTCTCGACGCCGCCAATGTCGGCGTCGTTGGCGAAGCGAAAGCAGTGAGTGCCGGCACTGTCCTTGTGGTAGACCATCTGCGGGCTCGTGCCGTCGGCAGGGAACTCATTCGATGCACCGTCGTAGCCGCCGTGGCAAGATGGCGCAACACGTACAATGGTGTCTCCGCGTGCGAAGACGACTACGTTTTCCCAGTCGTGACGGTGGCCGCCTGCAAACGAGCCGCTGACCGACTGGTCCTTTTCAAAGTAATACTCGTACCTATTATTGTCAGATGTGTTTCAAAAAGGGGTACCTTCATGCAAATCAGTGTAGCCTTACATGATAGCGCAGACGCCGTTGTTGCAGCGGCGACGGGAGTAAACATTGCTGTTCTCGAGCTGAGGGGGATCGCGGCAGTCGCCCTGAGGAGTGCCGGTGGCGCCCTTGCCAGGGTTTATGTTGCCGTCAGGGTCAATGGCCGCTGTGTTGTAGCAGCCGTCTGTATCGAAGTCAAGAATTGGCTGGAACTTGTTCTCGATCTCGTCAGCGTTTCCTGGGAGGGCGGTGATAATATCACGCCTCAGAATGGGCGCAGGAGAAGCATTGACGGCTGAGAGGGCGCCAAGCAGGGCGGCGGTTGAGAGGAGAGTATGCTGCATGTTGAATATTGTTGGTGGTTTATGATAGCGATGGTTGTGTTGTTCGAGTCGGGAAAGAAGCGTGAAGAGGATGTCTGTGTTGGATCTTGATACGAATTGTACAACAGCAGCGGCGTGCTACTTATAGCTTTTTTAAATCGATGATGGGAGGTCTGCCTGCATGTCAGTTCCAAACCTTGGCGCTTGACATCATGTATGTCTACGTACTCTCTACCCATGACGATAGTTAGGCAACTTTTGGATGAGCGTTGGTTCTGATACCCTGTTTGTACGTACAGCTAGCTTGTTTCCTCGCCATGCGAAGCTCACTGTCTCCTCCCCGCGCTCATTATTCTCTGGAGTCGTCTGCCACTATCTCCAATATGTTTTCATAACCTTACAATCAGAATAAACCTCATACTATCATGAAGTTTCCCCCGTGCGTGCCTTACAGGCGCACATGGGTGAACGTGCATTCATCGAGATGCTCACGAGGATGATTTCAAAATGATCCACATTCAGGTCAGCGTCCAAAGTGACCTACGATGAAGGCTAAGGCTGTACAAATCAATGCCTCCTTGTCTCAGTGGTAGTCGCACACGGAACTTCCATATTCTGCCGCGTGGGGGCGTTTGGAGGAATGAGCGCGGGACGTGCCGATCCCCCTTGACTGAGAAGCCCGAATTAGGCATCCGAGGTACCGTGAGTGGCTGTGAATGGGCGCTTGGCCATCGTAGTGTCCGGTGAACTGCCGATCAACACTGGAAAGGGGACAGGTCTTGGACCGAAGGATCACGGTTTGGGCGGTGCCGGTCGTGCAGGAATTGGTTTCCACGCGAAGGAATTAAATCCACGTCATTCGAACTCGGATTTCGAATCCTTGATATTACCATGGCGCATCTCCAGAAACCATTCGAACATGACTTGTTGAGTTCGACTAGCATCATGCCCTACAATAAGAACGACAAGGCGACCATGTGGGAGACGCACATGATAGGCCACGCTAGGTTACCAGGTAGATCTTCCTGGAGTATTGCCTCTTAGATTACCGAACCGTAAAAAAGCTTGCTCTAAAATAAAACCTGGTAAAACAAGATATGGTCGGCGAACTGCCAAGACTACCGCCCGCACTTCCCGCCTATCCTAGAGAATTTCATGATCACGTTGCACAAGTGAAACGGAAGGATCAAATGGTTAGCTGGTGACGCGGAGACTTGGGGCGGAATCCGTGAAATACTACGGTAGATTGCGTCAAATTAACTCCAGCAGCTTGGACGACGTCTAACGAGCCTAGAAATACGGGTGCATGATGCCTCAAGCTCATGCTATCAAAGGCGCATTAATCCTATCTCGTGGTAAGACCTGCATAGACGAACACTGATCTCACTAAAAACATGTGTCAGGCCGCTCGGCGCCCGGATCCAACACACATGCAAAACTTCGTGGACGATCGATTCAGTCAAGTGGTACTGCGGGACCGAAGCATCTCGATCCTCAGGGGCGTGAGGTGAGGGCGGACATGATGCGGCTCGACATATGCTTAAAAGGCAGCGATTGATGCCCGAAAGGACGGGTAGACGTCATTTCACCGTGAAGGATCCGCTCTCAAGGCGCTTCATCAAAATACAGAGTTCTTTTTTGGAGGATCTTCAGTTGTGAATATGCATGCAGTCCTTTCGTCCTTGTGTTGAGGATCTTGCTCTGAGTCCTGTGAATCCTTCAACTAGCTTACCTATCCAGCCTTCCCGGCACTTGGACAGCTGGCCGGTACCGGGACCAATAGCGCACGTCAAAGTTTGCCGATCATGACGAAGACTCATGCTCAATCTGGTTGTCGTGTGCTCAAGTTCCCTATGCATTCCTTACCTCAGACCCGAACCAAAGGGAGTGCCCACTCACTTCTTCAGCGAGTCGTGACACCACGGAGCCAAGGCGATTGGTCAGAGATGCTAAAACCTCTTCCTCGCGATGTACACTTGGTTCCTAGATTCACTAATCACTCAGGAATTCGGTCAGTAATCTTAGCAGCAGGTATTTGCGGTATCCCAATACTCTAGTAGTAATCACTCGATCACGAGCGCTGTTCGGGCTGCGGGTATGTGCAGGAGAGATAGATGCCAGCGCACCGAGTGCATTAAGAAGCGCACAGAGTCGAGGATCAAAAGAAGAAAAGGGGCTCCGATAACAGGCTTTAGAAATGAATTCTGTTACGCCTTCACTATCGAGTCAACCATATTCGTTTGTGAGGCTGAGTGACAGACACACTCCCAGAGGCCCGACTGCCATTTGCATGGTAGGCTTTCTGAAAATTGCAGAATTTACCATCTGAAGTAGCCTAAATTGCTTGAGACTATTTCACGAACCTCTTTAGTCAATCCAGGCTGAATGGGTGGCTATCAATCGTATTTCTCATTATTGCCATCTCTAAAATCTAAGTCATGCCAGCCAAATCTATGCACAGCCGAGCGCCACACTTACTGAACGCTTCATAAGGGTCTTTCTACGAGCAGTGAACAAAGCCATCGTCGTGGGTGTGGCACGAAGCATTGGCGGTGGTGGTGCCGCTGGCATCGCTGGCGGTAGTAGTAGTCGGGGCAGCGGTGCTGGTGCCGGCGGCGGTGTCAATGATGGGCTTCTCGCCGGGGCAGCCGACGCCGGGGATGGCAATGTCATAGGCATAAGCCTCAATGGCGAAGTACTGAAGGGTGTCGCTGTCGATGATGGAGAGTTCAGGCTCAGTGGCGGCAAGCTTGAGGGCCTCGGCGTAATCCTCAGCGTAGTGATCGATGATGCCGTCGCTGATGCCGGGCAGGTGGAAGGCGCGGTGCAGAAGGTCAGTGGCCCAGTAGGTGTTGAGCTTGGACTCGGCCACGGTATAACCACCACCGCAGAGAGCGGCAAGAGGGCGGCGGATCTCGTAGGAGAGGTCGCAGATGACCGTCTCCTGGGTGGCATTCGAGCCGCGCCAGTGGCCGGCCCAGCCATCTTGGGTAGCGCAGTTACGATCAGGTCGTCGCACCGGA